ATTAGTTGATATTCTAATTAATGCATATAACATTATTCATTGTATAGTTCTTTGGGTTTGGTTAAAAATTTGTGGGTTTGTCAATTGGAACGAAGTAATCAATCTTTATATGGAAACAAATGGAAGTTTTGCTACTGGACATCAAACTGTTGGATGAAATTTTTCAGAGAAAGTAAAATCAAGAAAGATGGGTTCAATGAAATGGATATATAGCGGCTATAGCAAGTGAGTTTTGATAGTATTGTCTTGCAATCAAGTGAGAAACACTGGACAAATGAGAGTTTAGTTTTATTTATTTATTTATTTAAAAGATGTGTATAGAGAAAATTTGAATATAATAGTGTATTTTGATGTTCATTATAGTCATTTTACTTTAAAATATAATTATTATTAAAACAATATTTTATAAAGTAGATATACTGAGATAAGTAAATGTGTGAAAATAGAATTTTTCCTTATTTATCGGGAAATTCTATTTTCACACACCACATTGCCTCTGTCCACACACTTAATGAATTTTACTTTTATTACAAATTTACCTTTAAATAAAATGACCAAAATAGACATCCATCCATACACTTAAACATCCAAAATAGAGATCTCTGTGCACATCTTTTTCTTATAAAAGCTCTTTGTGTACATCCACTGTCCATTGCATACGTTATTGACACTAATTCTCACACACTTCACTCTTTTTCACACTCTCCATTGCTACCTTCTTCCTTCACTCTTTCTCACATTTTATTGCCTACCTTCTTCCTTCATTCTTTCTCAGACACTCCATTGCCTACCTTCTTCCTCTATTATTTCTCACACACTAGACTCCATTGCTAACATTCTTCCACTGTTCACTCATTAGGTTACCATTGCTTGTCAAATAAAACTTGATGTAAGATTGGCCAAATAATTTAGAAAACTAGGAGGATATGCAAAACAACTAATGCCGCGACAAAAATGTAACTTTTTTTGCTAAGAAATTATTTTACGTAATTTTTGTTCGTGATCACCATTCAGCAAATTAGTGCCAAATACATAGATAGTATACGAAAAACAACAATCGAACAAAATTAATTTCTTCGGAACTCAACTTCCAAACTATAATTCGAAACTCAACTCCCAAAATATATTAAACCATTCGGAACTTAACTTTTGAAATATATTAAATAATTCGAATTTCAATTTCCAAAATATGTTAAATATTTGGCTCTGAATTATTTTTATTTATTTTTTATTTTTTTATTATTTTTTTGTGCAAAAAGTATCCACTCAAGCAAGTGAGATTCAATCTAATTGTGTATTGGACTACACCGGTCAATTTACAACAAATCAAGTACAGAGTCATCAATCATGGTAGGCCCTGTCGGCGCAGCACTACGATCAGGAATATTTATGTGGGCTAATATGAGGGTGTGCACACATTTTTTTAATTAAATGGGTATATTTGAAATTTGGAGTATGTGAATTGAGATAAATACCTAAAAATTAAATTACTAAGCCTCCGTTTGGGAAGTGGGTTGGCTTTTTGACTTTTTTGGCTATTTTAGCCTGGGCTAAAAAGTTTAGCTTGGGAAGGACTTTTTGACTTTTTTGACTTTTTTTGTAAGAGAAAAATATAATGATTATGGGTTGGATATGATATTTTATTTTTTGTGGCTAAAATAACATATTTTGTCTTTTGTGACTAAAATAATCAAAAAAATCCTGTTTAGCTCTTGCCAAACGGATCCTAAGTGAGTGGAATGAAAAAAGATGTATATAAAAGCAATGTAGTGTGTGAAAATAAAATTTTCCTCATTTATCATGGCTTTGATATGAAAAATAATTCATATCCCCAATAGGAATGGCAATGGGGGGCAATGGGGTGGATATTAATTCCCCATCCCCATTCCCTATTCCCCATGAGTACCACCCTCCCCATTTTTTAATGGGTATGGATTTTCCCCAACCCACTTTAATCCCCATTTTTATTTTTTATATTTAATGTTAACAACCACTTTTTTATTTTTTTTTTATTTTTTTTTATTTTTTAAGGTTCACAACAAAAACTAAATATATCTTCAATCTTTTTTCTTTCTTTTTAAATATATTTAATGTTAACAATTTTTTTTATTTTTTTTTTATTTTTTATTTTTTATTTTTTTTTAAGGTTCACAACAAAAACTAAATATACCTTCAATCTTTTTTCTTTCTTTTTAAATATATTTAATGTTAACGAATATTTGTTTTTTATTTTTTTATTTAAGGTTCACAACAAAAGTTAAATATACCTTCAATCTTTTTTCTTTCTTTTTTATATATTTAATGTTAACAACCTTCTTGTTTTTCTTTTGTCTTTTTTTTTTTTTATAAAGGTTTTAGCTAAATATACCTTCAATCTTTTTTCTTTCTTTTTTAATATATTTAATGTTAACAACTTATTTTTTTATTTTATTTTTATTTTTTTAAGGTTCACAACAAAAGCTAAATATACATTCAATCTTATTTTATTTTATTTGGTTCAACAACAAATCAAATACACATTAATTAATTAATTAAAAGTTTGTTTTATAATAATCAATATATAATTTTGAGAAAATCAAAAAGTTTGTTTGAAGAAAGTGTTATAAGACTCATATTAAATTGCATCAGGGCATAAACAAGGAATTGTTAGCCACGGACAATTTAGACATTAAACATCTTTCTCTTAGCAAATTTGAACAATTCATTTTAATTTATCCAAAATCTAATTATACCTTAACAAATCTGAACCACTCATTTTAAGATATCTATGCATTACAACACCCAATCCATCCTCCATCTTCTTCCTTTAGTCCCCCACGAATTTTGTTGTTTGTTACTTTTAAAAAACAAAAATATTTTTTCAATTAAATTTTTAACTAATTTCACAACACCATCACCACTATTCTCACTTTCACTGTCACACTACCATCACCATAGCCACTACCATCATCACTGCCGCCATCACCCCACCACTATGTAACAATTTCTACTTTCACCTTCGTTCCATCACCACCACCACCAAATATAAAAAAAAATATTTTGAATTTTTTTTATAAAAAATATTTTCATTAAAAAATATTTTCTATCTAAATAAATGAAGCATAACATTGGGAAACAAGCTTATTTCAGTTAAATCTGTTCATAACTAAGAAAAATTCTTTTAATTTAAAAAAATTTATTTAGTATGACTTTGTATCCCCTTTCTGTTTTTCTAGCAAATAATCATGTACCCATCATTTCTAACCAATCACAACTCATGCTTGTTTTGATTCTCTACAATTTTTTTATTTTCAAATACATTCATATATATATATATATATATATGTTGTATAAATTGTGTGATAACATAAAACAAATAGATTCATACTCGTTAATTGAAATTTCAGAACAAGCAAAACAATTCTGAAAATTACAAATACACAACAAAAATAAAATAACATAGAAAAGCAAACCGAAACCTACACTACACAAATGTCCTTAATTTTTTTTAAATAAATTTAAAAAATTCTAGATATGCATAAAATTTGACAAGAATAATGTGACAATGTTAATTAATGTGTATTTGATTTTATTGTTGAGCCAAATAAAATAAAATAAGATTGAATGTATAGCTTTGGTTTGTGAATCTTAAAAAAAAAAAAAAAAAAATGGTTGTGAACCTTAAAAAAAAGAAAAAAAAATTAAATATATATTTAGCTTTGGTTGTGAATCTTAAAAAAAAAAAAAAAAATTGGTTGTGAACCTTAAAAAAAATTAAAAAAAAGGAAAAAAATTAAATGTATATTTAGGTTTTGTTGTGAATCTTAAAAATTAAAAAAAAAGGTTGAGAACCTTAAAAATAAAATAAAAAAAGATTGGAGGTATATTTAGCTTTGGTTGTGGATCTTAAAAAAAAAAAAAAAAAAATTGTTGTGAACCTGAAAAGATAAATAAATAAAAAAAGAAAAATATTGAATGTATATTTAGTTTTAGTTGTGAATCTTTTAAAAAAAAAAAAAAAAAAAAAAAAAAAATTGGGGAAAATTAGTGGGTACCCATCCCAAACCCATCCCCTGTGGATATTTAAAGAATATCACCTACCCTACCCAATGAATAAGAAAAAGAGGGGAAAACCCATGTATTTGGGTTGGGTCTCCATGGATACCCATAGGGTAGGTTATCCATTGCCATCCCTAATCCTCAATCCCACCCACACCCAAACCTCACCCCAAATAACGTGGAGAAATCCACGCCAAATACGCCTACGCTCCTCTCTCTCTATCTCTCAAATCTCTCTCTCTTCTTTGTCCAAAACAAATCTCCTATCTCTCATAAAATTGAAGTTGCAAAGAGCGGCACACTACACTGTACGTGAAGGGCGTGAACTTGAACCAACAAGGCACCATATGTGCTTTTGTTAACGTATAGCAATGTAAATTATATATTAAATTATTGAAATTTGTATTAAAGAAAAACCAAATTTAATATGTTTGGTTAATATATTTATATAAAAATATACATCTATTAAAATATAAAATAATTTAAATAAATATTACTCGATATCTATATTTTTTTAATATAATTTTAAATATATTTATAAAATAATTATAAAGTTTCAATTCTAATTGAATCTACGATTGAACTAATAACTTTTTACCCGGTCATTTTTTCAGTTTGACCTACCATTTGATTTCAACATTTGTGAGAAGCACAACGGAATATGAGGGTACGATTTTGAGGTTTTTGAACTTTGACGAACTACGAAATTGATTGATAAAGTGAGTGATAAACTGCAAGACAAGTTATTGGATGATTCTAGGACATTTTCATGTGATGTCCTAAATTGTGTCAGTGGTTAAGATAGTGAGACTTTTGACTTTTGTGTCAAATTTTAAGAAATAAGTTGTGAGGTGGCAAATTAATAAGCATAGTGGAGCAATCCTCAAGACTATTAAATAATTTTTTCTCACCACCTTTCCAGTTTTTTTTTTTTTTTTTTTCCTCTCACTCAATTGTTGGTATCTTTTTTTTCTTTTTTTTTGGTACAACGGAATTAAAACAACAAATGAGGAACTAAGTCCTCATCCTACCCAAGCCTATCATATCAGCAGCAAGCAACTCTCTTAACTCAGTTGGTGGGTCATTCATCACCAGTATTTCTTCAAGTTGAGTAGCTCCCATTTTTGCCAAAAAATCAGCACACAAATTGCCTTCTTTCCATACATGTTGCACAGAGCAATCACACCCTCACCCTCTGAGAAGAATCTGGGCATCCTCCACCAGGTTCTTGAAAGGGCATCTGTCCCCTGGTTCTTCTTGTAGCAATTGCACTACTTGTTCGGCATCGGTCTCGATCATGACTTGGTTCATTCATTTTTGTAGTATGATAGTCAACCCTTTGTATACAGCCCACAATTCAGCTTCTAAACTGGTTCCACTGTGCAATTTTCCATAGTAGCCACACACCCAAGTTCCTCTTTCATCTCTGATTAGGCCCCCAAATCCTCCATCGCCACCAACTCTTCTACTGCCATCCGTATATAATTTTAGTCTACCTGCAGGTGGAAGACACCAATTAATAATTCTGAATGCAGGTCTAGTCTTGGATATAGAATGAAGGAATGCTTGGTTAATCTCTCTTGAGTAATCCAAAATAAATTTAAAACTCTCTTGACTTGGAGTAGATTTTTGTTCAAAAACCATTAAATTCTTATTCTTCCAAATTTTCCATAAGGAAATAGTAAAAACAGATTGCCAAGAGATGGTGTTGTTAAAAAAAGACACCAATTAATAATTCTGAATGCAGGTCTAGTCTTGGATATAGAATGAAGGAATGCTTGGTTAATCTCTCTTGAGTAATCCAAAATAAATTTAAAACTCTCTTGACTTGGAGTAGATTTTTGTTCAAAAACCATTAAATTCCTATTCTTCCAAATTTTCCATAAGGAAATAGTAAAAATAGATTGCCAAGAGATGGTGTCGTTAAAAAGTTTTTGCTTTAGCATTACTCTTGAGCCAATCCAACCAAGGCATCTTCATCATATCCCGATACCAATTTTGATTACAAATAGCTAACCACACTTCCTTTGCTTTGAAACAGTCCCTAAAGAGGTGTGACATATCCTCTACCCCACAACAATTGGGGCATTTAGGATCATCAGTCAAACCCCTTTTAATCTCATTTGATTTGTAAGCAGTTTCCCATAGAACATAGTCCAAAGGAAGCTTTTGAGTTTTTAGGGTATTCGCATCCTCCATAACCAATTCCAACCCTCCTCATTCTCAGTCTCATCAAGGATGAGGTTATACACAGATGAAACATTGAAAGAACCAGCAGATGATCCCTTCCAGAGGGGACTATCCATCTCCCAAATACCAGGAGGAGGATCATTCAAGATCAAAGATGCAATATTAGGAGTACATAATTTGTGAACTTTTATCTCATTCCAACTGCCATCAGAATTAAGCAGCTCACTTACATTATTATCAACATTACAATTATTGTGTAAGTTTTGGTTAGTATTGGATTCAAGGTCCATAAAGGCCTTGTCTCCACACCACCAGTCCTTCCACACATTCACATTGTTTCCATTACCAACAGTCCATTTCACGCCCTTTCTGAGGATGTAGCAAGTTTTCATGATACCTCTCCATAAATGAGAGGCTCTTTTGTTGTTATGCCAATCATACAGAGAGGTGCTTCTCAAGTATTTGTTTTGAGCAAGTCACACCACATATCACCTTTGTTACTAAGCAGGTTCCACCCTAGTTTAGTTAACAAAGCCAGATTTTGATCTCTGGCCCTTTTTATTCCCAGGCCACCCTGACTTTTCATTTTACACACATCATCCCAATTAACAAGGTGGATTCTTTTTGTTTCCAAGGTGTCACCCCATAAGAAGTTCCTGTTCAATCTGTCAATGTCATTGCTTACTCTTTTAGGAATAAGCATAGCTTGCAAGTTGTAGGAGTGTATGATAGAGCTTACTGACTTAATGAGAGTAGCTTTGCCAGACATAGATAACAGGTTAGACTTCCATCCTGCCAATCTTCTCTGCATTTTCTCCAAGATATCATGAAAATGTCTTCTATTAATTCTACCATGAATGAGTGGGACACCTAGGTATTTCCCTAACTCAGAGGTTAGGGAGATACCACATTTGGTGCTCAGCTCTTTAGCCCTCCTTCTGTCAACATTAGAGGAAACAAACATCTTGGATTTATGAGGATTAACCCTTAATCCAGAGATATTGCAAAATTCCTCCATAACAGTCATAATTGTGTTACAAGTTTCCATGGTAGCTTGGCCAAACAACATGAGATCGTCTGCAAAGAACAAGTGAGTGAGGCTAGGACCACCTCTAGTAACTTTTATCCCCTTCCAACTTTTGTTCTCAGCCTTAAAGCTTATCATGCTTGATAGTCTCTCCATGCATAAGACAAAGAGGTTAGGGGATAAAGGGTCACCTTGTCTCAAACTCCTATGGGGTTGAAATTCCTCAAGATGTTCCCCATTCCAAATAATAGCAGTCCTCACAGTAGTAACACAACACATGACAATATCAATGAAGTTTTTATCAAAATTGAACTCCTCAAGGGTTTGTTTTAAGAAATCCCAAGAAATGTTGTCATAAGCTTTTTCCAAATCAACTTTTAAAATCATGCCCCCTTGTTTCCCTTTTTTAAGGTTTAAAGAGTGAATGATTTCTTGAGTTATGATTATATTATCACTAGTGTTTCTTCCAGGTATAAAGCTACATTGATTGGGTCTAACAATTTTACTCAGGAAAGGTCTAATTCTACTAACAAGGATTTTAGAGATAATCTTATAGGTCACATTACAAAGACTAATAGGCCTAAATTATTTGATGCTCTCCGGATTTTCAACTTTAGGAATTAAGACAACAAGAGTTCTATTAATCTCTCCAGGAATATGCTTGTTGTGAAAACAAGTTTTAACAAAGTCACAAACAGCAGGGCCAACAATAGACCAGTAGTTATGATAAAATATAGCTTGAAACCCATCTATACCAGGTGCTTTGAAAGCACTAATATTTTTCACAGCTTTCCAAACCTCCTCATCAGTGACATTACAAGTAATAAGTGCATTCTCAGTCTCAGTCAATTTACTACTCCCCAGATTGCTCCAATGTTCAAGAGCACTAGCAGTGGATTGACTAAACAGATTTATGAAGAAATTAGTGATCATGGTTTTTAGAAAGATAGGTTGGTCGATCCAGATGCCTTCCTCATTTTTCAGAACATCAATTCTTCTTCTTCTCCTTTTGGTCAGGGTTGTAAGGTGAAAGAATTTAGTATTTCTCTCATCCTGGGTGATCCAGGTAGCTCGGGATTTTTGAAACCACAGCAGTTCTTCCTAATAGAGAATTTTGTTATACTGTTCAACAAGGTCCAATTCTAAGGTGTGGAAGTTATGGGAATACATGTTGGCTTGGGATTTCTGTAAGCCTTTAATCCGCCCAAGAAGCCACCTTTTTTTGCAAAAAAATATTACCAAAAACTTTTTTATTCCAAACACTGGCTTCATGAGCAAGAGTTTCAAGCTTACTTAAAAGAGATGGGTGAGGATTGGTCCAGCTTTTAGTAACCACAGATATAAAATCATCACGAGTAATCCAAGCAGCAAGGAATTTAAACGGCTTACAAGTAGGATTAAAAGGAGACATACCTTGTGTGAACACCATCATAGGGGAATGGTCAGAATATGTGCGAGGCAAGTTGCAAACAGCTCTATCAGGAAAGCTAGTTCTCCACTCCGTATTACACATAGCTCTATCTAACCTAACCATGGTATTAGCCCATCCTTTTCGGTTATTAGACCAAGTTAGCCTCGGTCTTGTGCAGCCTAAATCCATTAGCTTACAGTTACTCATCCTCTTATTAAACTTCCTGCTTCTTCTGTGATCTTGACTCAGGCTTAGATTTTGATTACCAGTGAAGCTCCTTTTTTCATTACTGGTGGAGAAATCGTTAAAATCCCCTGTAACTAGGCAAGGATCAGTCATATTCTACAAAATTGCTTCTAGGTGCTCCCAAAGCTCTTCACGTTTGTTGTTGTTTGGACATGCATAGACAACTGAAAAGCAGCCAATCTGGGAAGTCTTGCCTGGATATAGTTGTTGTAATCAATTGGGAACTACCCTCAACTACTCTAACATTAACCACATTTGGATTCCAAATCATCCAAATGCCTCCACTGCGGCCAATTGGATCCACGTGAGCAGAAGTAGTGAAGCCCATGCAATTAGAGAACATTCCCACAGATTTAAATTCCACTTTGGTCTCCATAAGAATAAGTAACTCTGGTTTATGGATTTGAACAAGTTCTCTCATGGTTCTCTTAAACCTTTGATTTCCTACCCCTCTGTAATTCCAGATCAGCATATCCATGGAAGGTATGGTATGGCTTGGTATTGGGGATTGATCTTCAAGAGCGAGATAGCCCCTCACAACTTTGTGGTTGTCTTCCATCAATTTCATGGGAGATATCATCACATAGTGCCGATTCTGACCTGCCTCCACTTGTTTCCATGGCTGGATTCGCACTTTTACTTCCTCGTTCCATCCTTCTGAGGCGATGAGGTGAAACACTTCTTTTCCTGGTGTAATGACCACCATCACTCTGTCCTGAATCAATGTATGTTTTAGTGTTGGTAAGTTCTCCCCTTCCTCCTCCATTTTTGTCTGGCGGTTCTCTGTGTTGGGGTCTATTAATGTTGGTTTTCTTTTGGTTGGGTTCAGAAGTGTTCCTTTCACTCGATTGTTGGTATCGTTTTTACTTGTGAGTAAATCAAATGAAATGTCATTGTATTAAAGCTCAAAATGAATTGTCATTTTCTCAATGCTCAACTTGATTGCCATGAAAGCTCAAAATGAACTGTCACTTTCTCATTGCTCCACTTGATTGTCACTTTCTCAAGCAGAGTATTGAGATAGTGATAACAAATTCTAGAAAGAAATTCTTCTTCTTATGAAACTTGTATGTATATTGAGGTTGGTTATATATACAAAAGAACATGAACAAATATCTACTGATCACAAGAATTAGAAAATATTGTTTAACTATTTACAAGAATTAGAAAATAATTACAGAACCACTAAATTAAAATTACTCGTAAAGAAAATAAATTACTTTTATGATAGAAGCTATCTACTCTTAATTGAACTCATGTAGAGTTGATGTATTTGGTTGATGATCCTTTGTTGTGTCTTTTCGCCATATTTATACTGCCAGGTAATTTCCTTCAAAGCTTCAAGAACCGCATATATTTTGAGCAAATTTTAAAATAATAACTTTTAAAATTATTTTAAATTATTTTTAAAATTTTCATTTTAACTAAATGTATACTCAAAGCAATTTTTTTTAATTCATTTTCCTTTTTTTTTCACTTCATTTTCTATAACTTCCACTTTTGATCATATTTTAATTCTAATCAAACAGACTTAAAAAAGAAAAATTACAATACGTTAAAACTTTTTTTTTCAAGAATACTAATGAAATTGTATTTAACAATTATTTTTTGAATTAATTACTTAAAAGTCCTATTTACAAATGTTATGGTAGCTCAGGTCCTATCTAAAAAATTTTGAACCAATAAATCCTATTTAGTAAAAGTGGGAATATTGTTAGTTTTTCTCAAATTTTAAAACTAAAAATATTATCAATTTTGTATAGTAATGTTCCAGATAATAGCTTCATTAACTGATGGGAAAAAAAACAGAGCAAGGGATTAAACGTTTTTGCTCTTCTACTTATTGGTTTAATTCGTAGCTCAGGTCCTATCTAAAAAATTTTGAACCAATAAATCCTATTTAGTAAAAGTGGGAATATTGTTAGTTTTTCTCAAATTTTAAAACTAAAAATATTATCAATTTTGTATAGTAATGTTCCAGATAATAGCTTCATTAACTGATGGGGAAAAAAATAGAGCAAGGGATTAAACGTTTTTGCTCTTCTACTTTTGGTTTAATTCAACTATCCAATAAAACCGAAAATATTATAAGTTTTTTTTTTTCAGTTTTAAAACTGAGAACATTATCAGTTTTTTCATTTTTAAAGTTTATTTTTCTTTTAGTTTTGCACATGAATGTTCCATCCTTATACTTCTTTATTGACACAAAATTTTCAATTTTGCACAAAAAAATAATTTAGTTTTTTTTTTCATTTTTTTCAAAAAAAATGCATTACTATTATTTTTTTTAACATATATATATATATATATAAGTTTTTCAATTTAAAAGTTGATATTTTAAAGTTTTGAAAATCAAAATAAATATTAAATCATTATATTCCTTTATAGATAATCATAAATAATGAATAATCATTGTTTGAATGGTAATTCCAATTATTAAAAATTTAGTGGGACTTGAAGATCCAAAAAAATCTTAGTAAAGACTTAATGGAGTATAAAAATTCATAAATTACAACTTATGTGTAAATACCTCTTATTTTTTTGGTAATTTTTTAATCTTTTTGTTTTTTTAAGGATCTACACCCCACACAAATCCCTCTCCCCTCTCTCCACAATTTCAAAATATAATTTCAATTGCACACGGCAGCATGCGTAGTCTTATAGCGGGGGTGTTTGGGGACTTGGTTTGGGAGGTTTTTTTTAGCTAAAATAATTAATAAAATATAATAAATTAAAATAGTTGATAAAATAAATATTACATTCAAATCATAATTATTTTATTTTTTTCTCTTACAACTATCAAATCAATTACAAAGAAAAAGTCAATTATCATCCCAAATACAACTTTTTTAATTAGATTAAAATAATTTAAAAAACTCCACAAAAAAAAAAAAAAAAGATTAAAACAACCAAATTCTCAAAGGACTCCCATGTACAGACACCATGGGCACACACACAAGGAAGGTAGGACTATTAAATAAGTTTGAAAAAGGACACTACACAAACCCGGCCCACAACCTGTGAGCTGTATCCATATGGGAAATTTAATGAATTGGGCCACAATTAGGAATGGTCATGTCTCCTCAGGAACCCAAGAAAAAGAGCTAATAACCCCTCCAAAAATGAGTGGTGAACATGTCATTGATTTGAAAGCATACCCTCCTCCCTCATTAAAATGCAATACTTGAGGCAATAATGCTTGAGACCATTAAAAGTGGTGGTTTAAAAGCAGAACTAGTGATGTGGCAATAGACGAGACTCACTGTTTGTGTCTTGTTTTTTTTTATTTAAAGTGCTTGACAACTCATTAGTGGTGTTTTAGAGCACCACTTTTAGTGAAATGTATCATTACCGTAAATAAATTTTGATAATCAATAGTTGATTGACACTAAAAGAGTACCAAAACCATAAGCCCCTCAAGTATCGGTAATGATTGAGGGGCTTATGGCTTTGGTACTCTTTTGGTGTCAATCAACCATTGATTATCAAAATTCATTTATTGTACTGTATGTGGGGGCACATGGCACCCCATTTGTCTCAAAATTAATTAGAAGTGCCAATCAACCACTGAATGAATGTCTCTTCCATTGAAAATTGGTATAAAGTTGGTCATAACTATGCAATGCAAATTCTGTTTAAGAATAGCAATGCTGATTTAGATCACTTCATTGTATAATCGGAATGAAAATTTTCACTTCAATGCATAAGATTGAAAGAAATTATTAAAATTTTTATGGTGATTTATGTTACTTATTTTGACCTTTTCGATTTTTTTTTTATAGAATTTTTTAAAAAAATTTTACTTTTTATATTCATCTGCACAATATAGACTAAAAAAGTAACATATTTTGACATAGCTTTGAAAAAAAGTCACTAAAAAAAAAAAAACTTTAAGAATTGATTATTTTAGTTGATTTTTAAAATTTTTACAACAAAATATATACAAAAAAAAGTGAAAAATAATGTGATAAATTGTAATAACTTTTTCACTTTCAATTATTTTAACCACTCTCCAAACAAGGGTGGTCATGTGTACCATATAGAACATGGTCTTGACCCCTAGACCACCCTCTCCACAGGTCTTGTCTGTGTCTGAGCCCCGTATAACCCAAGAGGTGCTCACAACTTGAGAGCATCAATTATTTCTTTCCATTACTTTGTTTTTAGCTATGTATTATTCCGTGGATATATGTATGAACTAAACATTATTTAGAGCTATTTTGGCAACACAAAAAATAAATAATTTATTGGCTTATTTAAGCTACGTTATCTCTTTATTTTTTTATATTTTTTTTGTAATAAATAAAAAAAAAAAGTCAAAAAGTAGTCATACCTAAACCAACTCTTAATTGGTGGGGGTTCAATTATTGGGGGTGGTGACAATAAAGTAATTTTTATGAATTCCTAATCCTGACATGAATGACCTACTTTTAGTCAGATTGAGAAGGTGATTAATCAAATTACAAGTAAGTTGGTCCGAACACTTTGACGGCTAAACTAATATATATATACACTAGTAAAGTATGCCCGTGCAAAGCAAGGGCTATTTACACAGAATTTAAATTTCAAGTAAATTAAAAATATAATTCTTACGATTTGTTTAAAATATAAATTATTTTTTGTAATTGTAGAAATTATATCTCGTCCTTTCAAGTTTTTAATTGCATAACCAATAATCTATTTTATTAATAAATCGTTAAGTTAATTAACAGTTTTTAATAACATCATAAATTTATTTTAATTAACATTTCAAGTATTTTTATTATTATATAGAAGAGCCGTTAGGATTTTTTATTTTATTTTAGTTGATTTATGTTACTTATTTTGAATTTTTCAAAAAAATTTTATAGAATTTTGCAAAATAGTTTTACTTTTTATATTCATCTACACAATATGGACTGAAAAAAGAACAAATTCTGAAAGAAAAAATTACTTTTTATATTCATCTACACAATATGGACTGAAAAAAGAACAAATTCTGAAAGAAAAAAAAAAGTCGCTAAAAAAAAGGTAATTTTAAGAAATAATTATTTTAGTTGATTTTTAAAAATTTTACAAAAAAATATATGCAAAAATGTTGGAAAAGATAATGTGATAAATTGTAATAACTTTTTATTTTTTAACTATTTTAACCACTCTCTAGACAAGGCTGGCCATATGTACCATATTCAACAAGGTCCTGACCCCAGACCACCCTCTCCACAAGTCTTGTTTACGTCTGAGCCCGGTATAACCGAAAAGTGGGGCTCGCAACTTGAGAGCTTCAATTATTTCTTTCCATTACTTTGTTTTCAGCAGTGTATTATTCCGTGGATATATGTATGCACTAACCATTGTTTAGAGCTCTTTTGGAAACACAAAAAATAAATAATTTATTAATTTATTTGAGTTATATTATCTCTTTATTTATTTTTTATTTTTTTTGTAAGAAATTAAAATAGTTAAAAAAAATAAGTCATACTCAAACCAACTCTTAATTACTGTGGGTTCAATTATTGGGGCGAGATGACAATAAAGTAACTTTTATGAATTCTCAATCCTGACGTGAATGACCTACATTTAGTCAAATTGAGAAGGTGATTAATAAAATTACAAGTAAGTTGATCCGAACACTTTAACAGCTAAACTTATATATATACACACACTAGTAAAGTATGCCATGCAAGGCATGGGCTATTTACATAGAATTTTTGAATTTTAAGTAAATTAAAAATATATTTCTTGAGATTTGTTTAAAATATAGATTATTTTTAGTAGTTGTCAAAATTACATCTCACCCTTTCAAGTTTTAATTACATAATAAATTATCTATT